AGGACCTGAACCTCTAAGGGCTTTAGACACTGCACCACTGCACATCACAGCACCTAATTTTTAGGCAGGACCGGCTCCAGGGTTTTTGCCGCCCCAAGTGGCGGGGAAAAAAAAAAAAATCTGCGATCGCATCCGCAATCGCCGGCACTCCAGCGGCAGCTCCACTGCGCCGCTTTCTTCTTCGGCGGGAATTCGGCAGCAGGTGCTTCCCTCCGAGAGGGAACTGCCGCCGAATTGCCGCCGAACAGCCCGACGTGCTGCCCCTTCCCCTTGGCCGCCCCAAGCATCTGCTTGCTCAGCTGGTGCCTGGAGCCGGCCCTGTTTTTAGGGGGCCTAGAAACTCACAGGAGCAATGTTGTGACTCACAAAGCAGAGTATGGCACATAGGCTTCCTATACAATGACTGGGGAGAGAGAAGAGCCTAAGCATGTGATCCACACAAGCCAACATGCTAGGCAGGGAGCTGCCTAAACTAGCCAATGGGAGATGCCAACAATAGGCATGTGTGCTAAACCTCACCACACTCTCAGAGACAGGTACCTATTTCTGCTAGTGATCCATGAACAGGAACCAGCCGCCTGAAGACAGGGGGGCTTAAATGCCCTATGCCACATGTGAACGTGAGTTTGGCATCTCTCTTGCTACACACAAAACAGCTGGAGATGGTGCCAATGCCCACCTTATAACTTTTAGCACAGTAGTTAGAGAACTCATATGGGAGGTGGGAAACTCCAGTTCAATTCCCCCCTCTGTCAGAGGGGGAGAAAAAAATTGATACTCCTGCTGGAATTCTGCACCACTGCACAATACAAAATTTACACAGAATAAATGTTCCCTGCAGAATTTTATTTTTCCCCATGGCAAAGTTATGATTTCCTCCCAGCACCCCTACCCACCCCTGGCATGGACTGACTGCAGAGTCCCAGACACATGGGGCTGTCAGCAGGACACCCAGCTGCCTGGGTCTGACAGCAGAAGTATGATTATATTGTATTTTGTCAAATAAAATATGCATAATATTAAAATATTGCACACAGAATTTTTAATTTTTTGGCACAGAATTCCCCAGGAGTAATTTGAATAGTGTCTCCTGTCTCTCAGGAGAGCTCTCTAATCACTAAGCTCTCAGATATTCTGATGTGGGGCTTCCTCAATTTCTTCTGCTGAAGCTGTTCACTGGGGCTAAATAATGAAAGAACAATTGGAGTAGGGGGACTGGCTGAAGGGTCTCCCACCTCCCATGGAGGAGCCCCAACCACTGAACTACAGAGTAATTCTCGCACTTGCTCTTTCTCTGGCCCCATGACTATTTACATATTTATCCACAGTGAAACAGCTTTTAGAGGAGAGACTGAGGGAGCCCTCTAACTACCCATAGCTCAGTGGTTACAGCACCCTTTTGAAAGGTGTGGGAGACTCCTATTTATATCCTTCTTCCTCCTCTCATAGAGAGATGGAAATTGAACCTGGGTCACTCACATCCCCAGTATGTGCACTAACCACTAGGCAAGAACTTTTAAGACCACCGTGTCACCCAGACAGATTTTGAATGGGACCTGACCTGGTAGGCAAGCTCAGAAGCCACCTACCAAATCAGGCCCTGCATGTAACTTAGGCGGATAAATGCCTATTTCCCCGTTTGTGACTAGTTCTGGGATTTGGCAGGGGATAGGCACCCAGGTGCCTAGAAAGACGCAGGAACATGCATGCCTCAGGGTCTAAGCACCTCAGGAACTCTTACTGAAGAAAGGCAACAAGTGAGATTAGGCACCTTGAAAGTTAAGCAGCAGCCGAATAGGAATTTTGTGGATCACAGTGGTGCTGCATACAGGGAGTTAGGCACCTATATCTGGAGTTTAGACATCTAAGTTGCTTCATGGATAGCACCCCTAGCCAACCAGTGGAATCCACAAACCCTAGGTTAGGTGCGTAGGCTCTCTATACAATGCATGGAGTTGGAGACATACTGGTGCCTGAGAATGGGATCCACTAAAGTCTGAGCTGCCTAAGTTAGCTAATTGTAGATGTGATGGAGAGGGGTGTGTCCTAAATCCTACCCTTCTCAGGGAATTAGGCACCTAAGTCTGAGCTGGAGGGAGGCACCTATCTCTGCTTGGGATCCACAGCTGGGAACCTCTCCTGGAGTCAAGCACCTAACTCTTTTCTTGCAAGAAACGCAGCAGTGCATGCCTAACTCCACACAAAAGGGTCCTGGGGGAGGGAGTAGAAAGAAGGCAATGTCAGCAGAAGTCTTCTTTATAATTTTTAGCCCAGTGGTTAGGGTACTCACAAGGGGCATGGGAGACCCCAGTTTAATTCCCCCTCTGTTTGATAGGAGAAGGGACTTGAACATGGGTTTTTCATCTATAAGGTGAGTACCCTAACCTCAGGACCACCTACTCGCTGATTACCATTCATGTAGCATTTCTGCAGCAGCACATATAGCAATTGTTTACATGGCAAAATAATATTTTAAAATTATTTATTGTATTTTTAACTTCTTTTAATGTTATTATCTAAAACAAGGAGAAGGAATCATCACCAGTCAGCTATCTGCACAACCACCAATAAGTGATCCAAAGACCACAGTTTGAGAACCATTGACCAAACTGCACCTTGAATAACAAGAAGGGCATATATTTGGAAAAATAAAGATGGGCAAAGAGTTTCCAAAATGGTCCTTTAGCCACAATTAGATTCAGGATTTTGCAATATAAACACTAGGAGAGGTAGGGGAACTCCATTCACTGCCATTTTCATGTTTTTTACCTGTTTGTTAAAAATATTTAGAATATATTTGAGGAAGAATATAGTTAAATAACTGCTTATTTTAAGGTATATCAATAATTATGGTAATTTATAGCCTATTTTATTCTAGGTCTGCCTAGCTCCAGGTTAATAAAGCAATTCTGAGTGAATCTGAACTTGTCTTTTTCTTATGTCCCAGTAGCTAGTCTTTCCTATTCCTACACCTGTGTGGGAGGTGGAATTAGTTTACAAGGATGCCACTGTCTCACATCTTACTGCCAGCTAGTAGCACATTGCATAGTACTTGCAAAATAATCTTAGGTTGACAAAACATTGTGTTATGATGCTAACAGGTTTGTCCAGCAGGACAATTTTATTCAAAAGTGGCAACTCTGCCATATTACAACATTCAAAACAGAGCTGAGAACTGATGCATTGAGACACATGGATACGCAATGCAATTTTTTATATTTATTAACTATCTTTTTAAGGCTATGCGCACTGCTAAAAGATCAGAATAAATTTATGGAATATTAAATAAGCAGCTGAAGTTACCACATGACCTTCAGTCTAGGATTTGCAGCCCACTCTCTTCTACCTGCAGAACCAAAACAAAATATTATTTGGTTGGACTGTGGGCTTCAAGGGTTCATAAGAGTCATCAAATCTCCAGCTGGCTCTCTCAGCTAAAAATCTTTAACTTACCTTTTAACAGCCTACTCTATTTGATATGTTAAAAATTACCTCCCATATATTTAAGTATACAGTTTCTTGACAAACAATGTACATGGTATATGCTGAAAGAAATGAAGAACAGAGAAATCAGCAGTTCAAACAAAAGAGGATTTTTTATCCATATAGTAGATCTAACAGTAGGACTAATTAATCTTTTTCTAGACTAAGAGAAATGTTGATAAGACTTACATAACCATATGATAGTTGTATATATGTAATGGAATAGGCTTATTTTGCTGCTTTGACTCATAACAGATTAACATCTTCCAAGCTGTTAAATTAACTTTATTTTTACAGTTCTGCAAAACAAAACAATTTTTAACAGCCACATGAAGTCATTTCCAAAGAAGCCTTTGAAGCTATTTGTGAACAATAAGCACTATAGAATCATTACACCGGTGTCCTTGGCTAAATTTTTCTTCCCTTATTGTTATGCACTATTGTATGGCGGGCAGCAGCTAGCTGTTTCAACGGCAGTGTAGTTTTTATGATCTTGTAGGATGCCCAGGATGCTAGAAATAAAGCGATATTAATGCATTATTTTATCTCGTCTTTTTCCTGTAACAGTTAAACATCCTCTGTGTTATTTTACACTTCAGATGTATTGCTTTAGGATGCTTTTGTCCTTCAGGCTTCACGTTGCATGCCGCACTCCTGCACCTCCGGAGAGCGCCGATCAGCAGGGTTACACCTTCAGTGAGGGCCCTCCGGCTCCTTCCTGCAGTTGTCGCTGCAGTCTGCTTTCAGTGTAGGGCAGGAGGAGGCGGGGAGGGGGACGCTCTGAGGACTTTGCCTCTGCAAATCCGCATTCCCCACATTCCAGCAGCGGGTGACGTCTGTGGGAAGACTGTCAGCTCCGCTGCGGCAAATGGCCCTTTAAAGTGGCCTTTCTCCTACAGCCCTCCTGGAGCACAGAGCGCCTGTTCGCGCACCAGTGCAGTGATGGGAAGCAACAGTAACACAGAACACGGCAAGCAGCGGGGGGGAGACGGGGACAGCCTACGTTTGCCCGGGAGATGGAAGTCGCAGGCCAGGTCCGCTGCTATGGGAACAGGGCGGGGACGGGCCCAGTTTGCCCCTGCAGCAGGCCAGGGGTGCGGCATCAGCAGAAAATGAGGCAGAGCAGGCCCTGTAGAGAAGCGTGAGGAAAGGTGGTGGCGGGCCGGGCCGGGCCGGGCCCTGGGGATGGGGAATTAGGACAGGCCGGTCGATGGGGGGAGAGCGGACGCAGGCCGGCAGCGGAGGACGGGAGAGGGGCTGGGAGCACAAGGCAGGCGCAGAAGACAGGAAGGGGGAAGGGCCAGGACACCTGACAATAAAGGGCAGGGATGGGGAGGGAACCTAGGTGCACGGGGACGGGGCCCCGCTAGGGGGCGGATAATAACAACGCTAGCACAGCGAGAGCGCGCGCGCGCGCTGCTGGCATCACGTGGGCTAAGGGCCCAGCGCCTGTGTGCGCATGCGCCTTTCCCCCCCACCCCCCTCGATCGAGGCGTCCCGCCCCGGCCAATGGGGAGGCGGCGCTGTCGTTAACCCCTGGCCTGGCGGAACGGCAGAGGACGCGGAGCAGGAAGCGCTGAGGTGAGGGGCTGTGGAGCCCGGCCGCCGCCGCCTTCTCCCCGCTGTGGGCAGCAGCCACCGGGGAGCGAGGCCTGTGGGGAAGCGAGAGGCGCCTGGCGTCGCTGCCGCCACGGTCTCCGCTTCCCCCGGCCGGTGAGGAAAGCAGCCCGCGCTGCAGCTAAGGAGGCTGGGAGCGACGGCGGCTCAGGGACCGCTCCAGAGATGATGCCGGTAAGTGCGAGACCCGCTTCGTCCGGGGCGCCCTGATCTCCCGCTGAGGGCGGCTGCGCTCCTACCCTGTAGCCGAGTCCGTGCTGCTTTCCTTGGCCGGGCATGGCAGCGGGCCGGTGGGGCTGGGAAGGGCGCTCGGCACCACAGCCCCCCTCTTCGGTCTCTCGTGTGTAGGCCACTTCCAGGTGGGGGAGGGGGGCCCAGCCATTACACCCCCGCTGGGTGCTGGAATGCCCCGTGTCCCCGGGCGGGTCTGGGGCCTCATGTCAACCCCGATCGCTGCCTGGCTGGGGTGGTTCTCTCCGAGAGAGGCGGCAGCATCGTCTGCCCCATTCGTTCGTCCTGCTGGGCAGAGGGGCTGCGCGTCTGACAGCCAGCCCTGGGCGTGACGGGGTGAGGACCCTGTGGACTTCGCGCTCCGCACTGCTTGGCAGGTCTCCCTGCTCTGGAGACCACTGGTGCTTCGGTGGTACAGTAATTTGCTGCTGATCCGTGGGGAGCAGGTTCGAGCCCTGTGGCTCCTCGGTTACAGCGTGGGCTGGGTTTTTCTTCGTGAAGCCTTGTTTGTTTTTCTTAAAACACATTTTCATCAGCCACGTGTGAAGAAGGGTTGATAAGAGATCTCTCGGTTAGGACGTACAGCTTTGGTCCTTTCTCAAGCGGCTTCATGCGCCTTTCTGGTAGGAAGAATGCATGGAGCAGCTATATCTCCAGCCTCTCCATCTCAGGATGGCAGGATATCTCTCCTGTCTCTCTCCTTTCTCTGCTCCTCACAGCTTCAGTGCGGAGATATATTGTTTTATTTTTAAAAGTTAAATACACAAATTAATTTGCCTCTCACAATTTAAGAGTGGAGATTGCATGTGGGTTTGGTGCAGTGGTCAGGAGAGAGTTGTGCTTGATGCCGGTATTAGGTTTGTGGCTAACTCTTGAGACTTGAGTGACAGAGAAAATGTCAACTTCAGAAGTGCAGTGTTTGCATTCTTTTATAATCTTTTTAGGCCATTTGATTAGTCTCCATGTTTTGTATTCACTCCAGGCTAGTTTTAAATATTGCAGTTGCTTGTGGTAGTCTTGAGAACTCTAATTATGTTTCTGAAAATTAATTTTAGTATTGATGTCTTTTTTAATACAACAAATTACCTTACAACAGCTATATCTGTTTTGAAAACTAGAAGTTGCTAAATCCAAATTCTGAAATATTAGATTTGTTTTCCTTTCTGAAGAATTGAGTGAATCCTGTAGTAATGAAATTAATAAATACTTAATTAAATCTGTCATAATGTAGGCACATATGTATACTTGGATACCTTTTTGAGAGTGCACCTCAATCCTGATCTAGCACATCCTGGATAGTCTACTTCTGGACCTCCTAGAAAAATGTCGCAAATACCAAATTCTGTCTGTATAGTGATCTAGTTTTGTGAGCAGATGATCTGGGGGACTGGAATGGGACCAGACTTACTTTCACTTGTGACCCAAAATAAGTTTTGAGCCCAGATTTTTCAAGAGTGGAAGGTTAGTGCCCTAATTTATTGTATTAGGTAGCTCCTAGACCTCAAATTAATGAAAGTTTTCTCCTTCATGAAATAGCTTTTGAATAATTAGTGAACAAAAACATGTTTGCAAGAAGATACACTTTACATATTAACAGAACTACCCTGTGTGGTTAACATCTGCTTATCCAGTATTTGTTTTAACAAGCTAAATTGAGAAGTTTAGAAAAATAATAATTTAATCTGTATCGGACTGTTCTGTTGACTCCTTGATCAGATATCAAGGAATTGAACAGTAAACTTGACAGCTAATTGGTTGAAACTGGATTTCATCCTTAATTCCTAAATGTCTCAACTTGATGGGGAAGCATAATTCCTTTCTACCTTCCCTCCATGCTTCCCTTCTTCTCTCCCCCCCCCCCCCCACAAAGGAAAGATGGAGGATAATATCTCCAGAAAGAGGTTTTACCAATAAGGATCTTCTTGCCATTTGTACACCTTTTCTCTCCCCTTCTTCTAAACTCTTCTTCCTTACTCTGCCACATCTTGGTGGAATACAAGAGTAACTGTTCAGTTGGTGCTGCCTGTGGTCCTGCGTGGTTGAATTTCCCTGTAGTAATGGTGCAGAGTGGATTGGTTTAAATGAAGGTGATTTTAAATTTAAATTACCAAGTAAAAATCCTTGATTATAAATCTGTTATAATCAACTTTTCTATCATATTTCAGTTATTTCCTAAAGAAAGGTGCATTCCCAATGGTTGATGTAACGGTTACAAGAAGTTGATTTTTACAACTAAATAGAGCCTTTACACTGGATTTGGAATATCTTTTTGCTCCATAGGAGGGTCTGCTATAACTGTATATATTTACTTATGCAATTATGTAGCTTAATATTTCCAGGTTCTTATTAATTAATTGTACATTTTAGAAAATGGTGAATGCTGTATTGCTTATTTACTAGATAATTTTTTGCTTGTGATGTGTCAAGCTGCATTAGGATGGTAACTGGAACTTAACTAAACACAACCACATATAAAATTTATTTTATTAAATAAAGCAATCCCTTAATACAGTGTATGGTCAGTTGTGCCATATTTATAAAGCTTGACCTCACACGAGGTATTTTCCTCTGCTGTCTTTAACTCAAAGTTTTTGATGGGCTCCTTGATTCAGCATATTTTTTATTTATCTTTTGAGAGATTATAATTTTAGGCCTTGACATATTTTGTATCAAGTTCAGATTTTAAATGATTTTTTTCTTTTAAAAAATAAACCTTAGTATAATTCAAATAAAATTTTAATCCACCTTACTAACAGGAAATGGACAGAATGCCATGCAGTCTGTCAGTTTTGCTCAGCTGGGAAATATTATTCAGGAGCAAAAATGGTAAACTTTTGAATGTGCATTTATCACACTAGAAATGTGTGATAAATGCAAAAATTCTGTGATTCTGCACAGACTGTAGTCCCCATCCCAAAGTACTTTGTAAAAAATGGACATGTGTATGTCCTGATTAAACAGTTGAGATCACTGACCTACTTTCACCAAAAAAGTAAAAACATCTTTTTATTTGTCTAATTTGATCTTAGAGGTAAGGCAAAATGTACAAAACCAGTCTGATAACTTAGATGATGAAAGGGTAATGTGGCTCTTTACAGGTTTAAATAGCCATCATGAATGCTGACTTCCAAAAGTGCTGTGCGTATTCTTGTAGATGCAATTGCATTGACAATAACCAGTTTTGAGGAGGCTACCTTTCTTTTCCATTGCCCCTTCTGCTCCAACAGCAACTGTGTAATTCTTAGCCTATCATTATTACATAGAAACTCAGGTTTGCCCACTCTCTGGGGTGGGAGTTGTTTTATGACTGGTGGTGACATAGAACTGAAGGTTGGTGGGGTTGGGGGAGGGAGTTAACTGGGGAAGACATCTTAAAGGGGATATGCGATTAGAGTACATCTCCTTGGATGATAGCTTCAAAGTGACATGACCTTGCAGATTACTACCAGCCCTTTGCCTTTTCCACTCACCAGTGTCTACAAGGTGAAGGAGGAGGAGGAGCACTTTCTTTCCTACACAAGAAGAGATGCAGTTGGAGAGAAGATGCTACAGTAGAGTGCTGCTACAGACCTAAAATATTCCTCCAATATACCATTTGATTTCTAGGTAATTCTTGGTCAGTTTTCACCTCCACATCCTATGCAGGGATGTTATTTCAACCCTATGGCTTGGGAATGAATACTTGTGGTCTGTGCATCTTCAGTAGAATGACAGGGAAGAAAGATATTGTATAAGAAGTTGTGATGCGCGGGGTACATTGAGATGAACATTAGATTTCCCCCATCTTCTCAAGTAACTCCTAGTTTGTTCTGTGGAACTTTTCTTTTTGGCCTAGGTGTTGACTTTTGTCTTGGATAGGTTGGCCTGCTGACAGCCAGTATCTGTAGTTTTGTGGTCTGGAAGGATTCAGATCTGTCTGGATAGAATCGTATGGTGGCTAGGATGAAACCTTAACTTTTTGGATCTAAAGTTAAGGTGCCTTTTTAATTTTTTGTTTTATTTTACTTTAGCCCTCACAAAAATCAGTTATTTAGTGTTTGTTCTTTTGTTCCTTTGTGTTTTGCAACTTAGTATGGTAGTACTTGAAATTATATACCTTTTGGAAAATGCGTGGTGGCTAAGTATATATAATCTGTTCATAATATGAAGTTTGTCAGTAATAATCTGGGACCCTAATGGGTGGGTGGGTGTGTGTGTGTGGTGGTTTTTTTTTTTTTTTTTTTAATATAACTGAACTGTTTAAACAAAATTTCCCAAAAGAGCTGCCTCCTATATTAAGTACCTGCAGGATTTTGTATAAAGTTGGTTTTCAGATGAATACTGAGATGCTTACATTATAGTCTGCACCTTTATGACATACATTTAATTTTTTTAAACTTGTATTTTCCAAAAAGTCTAATGTGGGCATGGCTTGACCCTAACTTAAATAAGAATAAATATACACTTGATTTAGGCTTCCTTTTATTCAGAGAGGTCAACTCTTCTGTATTCTAATCAGTCTAGAGGTACATATGTCAACTTGACATTCTTAAATTCAGTTTCAGTTTGAATGCTTGGAGTTGGCAGTACTGCATTCATCCTGACTTATGCCTATTCTTGTTGCTCTTCCCTATCCTCTTGGTTTCACTATGGGTATGTTTACACTGCAAAAAAGACCTGAGTCAGCAAGTCCAAGACCTGGCCTACACTATAGTTAGATTGACATAAAGCAGCTTATGTCAACCTAACTATGTCAATGTACACACTACAGCCTTGCTCCTACCAATGTAAGTGCCCTACTACACTAATATTATAACTCCACCTCCACAACAGACATAGGGCTTGTGTTGGTGCAGAGAGGGCACTGCGTTACTTACATCAGCTATTGGCTGTCTTGTCAACTTCATGGCTACACTGGAGCTGTGAAATTGACAAGAAAGCCCGACACCAGGTCTCTGCTCCAA